TAATAAAAAAAAAAAAAAAGCAGTGTGAGAAGCAGAAATGTGCACAAGGCCTTAGTCGAGCTAAGGCAATGCACCAGTGTGAGGAAGGTACAAGATGTGTTACTCTATGTGACTAGCAGTGCTGGGTGACCTTCTTGAGTCTCTCTGAACCTCAAAAAGGCTTGGGGTCATGTTAACCCCTAAAACAATTGTGACTGCTTCTGCCGATGTTTGTCCTGTGACCTGCCATTTGCCAGTACAAAACCAATTTTAGTTGCAAACAATGGGGGAATTAAAAGGAACCAATCAGCTCACAAGAAAATGTTTTATGTGATGCTGGGAAACAGAAGGAACAAGTCTCACTGGGCTTCATCTCTTTTCTATACAAGAAGCTTTTTCTGATCTTTTTTGTGTTGAAACTTTTCTCTGGAGCACACACATACACACAAACAGAAAATTTTGCTTTTAGATTCCATTTTTGCTGCTTGTAATAATCTTACACTGAGTTAAGTGTTTTCTGATAACTTTCCCACATACTTTTTGTACAGCTCTGATAATCCCCCCCCCCAGTGCAGTTCAGACTTCACTATTTTATTTTTCTTTAATTTTTACCTGGACACATTTTCTCTTTTGATTTTGCTGGATCCCATATCCTAAACTCCACTGACATCTAGTAACATGCATCCATGGGAGCCTGTTATCTATAATTTCATTCTGGATTGACAGCTATGTTCTTCTGTTTCTTATTTCTCTCTTCCCCAAGAGTCACTCATGTATACTGTGCTGTTGATTTCTCCTCGATACTATTATGCTTATATCTTTCATAAACTGAACTTCCTTCACTGGTCTTCTGCTATAGCGTATTTAAAATAAAAGTTTCTAAACAGCTTTTAGCCTCTCAAATTCTGTCTGGTCACCACCCACTTGCCCGTTGGAGCAATTTAAGAACCTCGTTTTCATTGCTACATTTCAGCTGCAAAAAAATCCCCGAGAGGTTTCTACATTCCCAGCCACCTGCATCTGTCTGTCTTCCCTCCAGGTAAGCAAGAGTCATTATCACAGCTCAAGGACACATTCCAACCAGGCGAAAGCACTCAAGGAGAGCAGAGAGCTGGGCTGGCAAGGGATGTGGCATTGAGAGAGAGAGTGGTCTTGGAAAGTTTTGAGGGCCAAATATAAAGGCTTGGAGGGCAACTTGTAGCCCCTGGGCCTGAGGTCCCCCCCCCCCCTTGCTAAAGATCAATAACACTTTGACATAGATAATATGAGGGTATTATATGAAAATTCTTTAAAAGATGAGTCATTTAAATTCTGTTGCAATTGAAGGAAGTCATGTGCGACACAGTAAAAAGTAGAGTAAGAAGTTTTTGTATTCCAGCATAGGGCAGCCAAATCACTTCAACTCAGGTGCTCTACTCTAGGCAAGCTGTGGATGGAGCAATACCTTTCCCCTGCCTTAAGCCCTGATAAATTTATTATGGATCTACCCTTTCCATTCACTTGGGTTTTCCACCTTGAGTTTTCCTAGCTCGCATTCTTACTTTCTGTTACGTTCTAAACAGGGCTGGATCTGCCCTAGCTATAAAGCTGAAATGAGTCTGCGGCAAACTCTGGAAGTGAAGCCACACTGCAGATTATTTGAATTGTAACAAAACACTCGTGTTTCAAAAAAGGCAGAGGCTGAATTTCTATGCACATTTCACTGGGAGGAAATTCCACTGAATTCAGTTGGACGCCGTGGGCAGGATCAGGCCTGCAGATATCTGATATCACTTGCTGGTGGGATGACAACATGTTTTGACTTGTTGTGGCTGCCAGCATGCGTGACTCGGGGGAAACTGGATTCCAGTTCACTTGGCTGAGTAAGCTCTGTATGAGTTGACCATTTGGATGAGACATACCTTATTAGTCAGGAAAGAATCTTGTTAATAAGCAGGGGCTCTGAAGTGCATTTTATGGTGCTTTTCCTCCCTTTTCTTTTCTCTGTAACCATCTGTTTCCAATCCTTCTGCTTACTGCTATTTGAATCTTTATCAAAGACCTTGTTAAATAAGCCTCTACGTGGCTTTATTATAGACACATCTAAGAGCTGTGTGTTTTTGTAAGAGAATTGATGGTAGCTGCAAAGAAGGAACACAGCTTTTTTTTTGTTTTTTTGGAAGCAATAATTTGTTTTGTGCTGAAGGCACCAGGAAGGTGAAGAAACAGTCATTCTATTATGTGAGGTTGTTAAAACCCATGTGTAATAATGAAAGACAATACTTTTGAATTGCTTCTGTTTGTTTGTCTATCTGTGCATTTTGTCAATAACAAAAGTTTACATAGTACCTGAAGTGGAAATCCAAATGGCAGCCCCACCCACAAAACACATACACACAAATCAGCAATAGTCACAGTACATGGGGAGAGACCCATTGTACCCTGGTTCTGCTTATGGGTTTTCGAGACTGGCCTCTGTGAGGACAGGATGCTGACTTTTGGCCTGATCCAACAGGTGGTTCTTATATTCTTATGGAAGTTCTCCTGCACAAGCCTAACTGAAACGAATAGCAACTGCACTATGACTATGTATGTAGCATGGGCAGGAGAAAACCCTTTTATATTTTGCCTTTTGGGTCAGATCTGACTCCCAGTCTGCTACTTTTAATGCGACTCCAGATCCACCTCCAGAAAGCCCCTGGCCTCATTGTTAGGCCTACAGCTGAAATTCAAAAAATTATAGCATGGATGGGGGCAGAAAATGCGAGTTAATATTCTGCACTGGAATAATCATTTGTGCTCCTTCCTAAACCACTTGCCTAGCCAGAGTGTTTCTCACACCATTGCTCATTACCAATGGCTTAGCTAGGGAGCTTTGGTAAGGCTTGTGCCTTCTGATCCCTGTTCTCATCATCCTGCTCCCAAAGCAGGCAGTAGCAGCATTTGTTCATTGACTGAAATGCATATTTTAGGATAGGGATCGTGCAAGCAAAAGATAAGGAACAAGGAATGTTTTAGAAGTGTCTCTCTCCCCACCCAACCCCCAGATTCTTGGCTGTTGTTGCTTTGCCTGGTGGTGACTTGACTGACCACTTTGTGATCTGCCTTTGACCGGATTATGTGTTAATATTTCAGAATCCCTGCTCAGGGAACTGGCTGATTCTTTCAAGCTGACTGAGAATAGAGCAGGAAACGCAAGGTGTACCTTCTCCTTTTTTTTAACCCAAGGCAGGAGTGGAGAGGAAGCTACATGGGGTGAGAGTTAATAAATAATGGGTGCTGCCATTCATTTGAATTCCACAGACAGAATAGCAGGGCTCCAGCAAGACAGTGAGGAGAAGAGCCAGGCCTACGATAGACTCTCGCCTCTTACTAAGTATACCTGCCACTTACCAGTTTTCTTCTCCTTCTTTGAGCAGGAACAATTGAATAGGGGCTCAACTTCAGTAAGCCAGGTTACTTACCCAGGAAGGAAATACAAGGACTGGAGTAGGTTGCATATGGGTGAATACCTTGTTATAATCACCCAAGACTCAACCAGAATGGACTGAACTGGCTGGGACAGAGACACAGGAAACATTCGGAAGATCCCTTTGGGCTGCAATCTTGTTTGTCAGGTGGTGCAGTGGGTCAGTGCATCTGGCTGTTAACCAGAAGGCAGGTGGTTCGTGCCCACCCAGGGATGGCTGTGGGCAGGATTCCTATATATTGCAGGGGGTTAGACTCAATGACCCTCGGGGTCCCTTCCAACTCTGATTATAGGACTTCTGTGACACATACAGGGGAGTAAATTCCATTCAGTACAGTGGGACTTGCTTCTGCCTAACATGCATAGGATTGTGCCACACTTGTCTACTGCCCCCAACGACAATCAGTATCTTTATCCATGCAGTGGTTAAAGTGGGTAAAGGTAAAGGTAAAGGGACCCCTGACCATTAGGTCCAGTCGTGGCTGACTCTGGGGTTGCAGTGCTCATCTCACTTTATTGGCCGAGGGAGCTGGAGTACAGCTTCCAGGTCATGTAGCCAGGAGGACTAAGCCACTCCTGGCGAACCAGAGCAGCGCATGGAAACGCCGTTTACCTTCCTGCCAGAGCAGTACCTATTTATCTACTTGCACTTTGATGTGCTTTCAGACTGCTAGGTTGGCAGGAGCTGGGACCGAGCAACGAGAGCTCACCCTGTCGCGGGCATTCGAACCACCAACCTTCTGATCGGCAAGACCTAGGCTCTGTGGTTTAGACTGCAGCACCACCCGCATTCTGGTTAAAGTGGTTAAAGAATGGCAAAATGAAGAGTGTTGTTGTGTGATTTAGGTTGACTTGCCTATTATATTCCATGAAAGCAGCCTTTAGGTCTCCCCTGATGAAGTGAACCAAAGTCTGAGAACGGTGCGCTTTGTGAGAGTGCTCCCAGAAACACGTGAGGAAACAGCAGTGCTGTACCTTCAAACACCCCAGTTGTCAAAGGATGGTTTAAAAATGGTACTACAGCAAACTGGTCCAGATTAGCTCATTCAAAATAAAGGAACGATTGGGGGTTTTTTAAGCCAGAAGGAAAGAATGTCATTGCCGTGGAGAACTGGTTGAAGGCATTCCACTTTTCTTCCATTGAAGCCATACACTGAAACCCCACTGCTGGAAGAAATGTATAGACTGAAGGCCAGTATGCTTGTCCTTGAATTACATTATATTTCTATAGGAGAAAACTCACAGGGTGGGAGAGTTTAGAATGAATGCACTTGTTCATGAAGAACAACATGTTGCATTTCCACCCTTCCATTTACATAATGCACATTCATGAGCAGCAACCCAAGTGCATTCAAGGTTGCCATTATGCATTGTACTTCTGGCTTGATCCAGCACAAAAGAAGCCGGTCTCTTCTTTTATGTCCATTGTCCTCTTTTTCTCTGCGTCTCTGGGATGACATCACAGTCCATGACGATGCCTTCCCTCCGCCAGCCTGTCTTCCTCTCCCACCTCTCTCCTCCACCAGGATTCTCCGAAATGGAGCCAGCCATTTGAGTAGAGAACTCAGTCATACAAACGTAGAGGGGAGTGGGGGGGAGATTATGAAAATGAACAGTAAATAAATACCAGTGCTGAGGAGCTAATGCTGATAAGAGGATTTTCAAAATTAGCCATTTGCAAGAGCAGATTAAATACGTTTAATGTTGGGGGTGGAAAGCAACTATTAAAATATGCAGCAAATGCCGCTGCAGCCCTTCCATGCGGCCCAGTCGTTTTGCCCTCTGCACACACTGTTGGCTCGGTGTTCAATGTTGGTTGAGGACACTAATTTACTGTTGTCTTGCTGGTAAACAAGCCGGCTGCTGGCAAGGGTCCAGAATTGCCCTCAGTTCACCATGTGAGATAGAATGCCAAAGGACTTCCTTAAAGGACGATGAAGCATAGGGCAGCAACTGATCTTTGAGAAACACAGAGCGAGGAAGCTATAGTGCGGGGTTGGGCTTTGCTAGCTAAGGGGAATGGGAGGCCCCCGTTACGGCCTGCAGGGTTGAAGGACCTGCCCTTTCAGGGATACCAGTCATCATCCAGACTGTGTTCAGAACACCAAGGAGCTTTGCATGAAAGTGGCCCCTTCTCCCGTCACAGCCCCTTCTGCTCCAGGCAGCTTAAGGCAGCATAGCAGGGCACATCTTGCAGAAGGGAGGCGGCATAAAGGGAACCGCATGCATTGGTGTCCATGCAGCCCACAAGCAAAAGCTGCAGGCAGGGGAGGCTGGCCCATTTGGGCAAATGGGGGCACTGCCCCACCAAGCTCAGTCTGCCTTCAGCCAGCTGTCCCACCCCACCTTATAAGCAGCTCAGGTAGTGCACCGTCTGTCAGCTTCCTCCATTTAAGCCTCTTGTAAGGGCTCAGCACGGAGGAGGGTGGGGACAAAACTAGAATGGCTCTGCCTTTTGTTGACCTCCCTGCCTTCTGCCCAGGCAGCCCCAATGGACACCAGTTCCCACTGGCTGCCAATATGGGGGTTGGCATTGCTTGAGGAATTTATGGGAGCCCTGAGGAAAGGACCAGTCTAGGTGTGGAGATACATTAAATGTTACATGACTTCCATCATGCCAGAAAAAAAGTGTGTGTGCGCGCGCACACGCATGAACATCTGTCTGGATGTTCTGGGTGGGGCTCAAGCTAAGAACTTTTGGATCTGTATGCAGCTGTTCCATGTGGTGAGCCACTGAACGATACTATTTCCTTTCGCAGCTTTGTATCCTCAGGTCCTGGCCTGATCCCACACACCCATGCTGGTTATAGGACACACACACCCCTGGACACGAAGGGGGATTTCTGTCCCAATAAAGCCTTGTTTGAGCAACAAGAGCCTTCTACAGGTGTTCTCTACTCCACTGTATTCACAGTGGGGGAGTTCAGGCCCATCTCTGGCCTGCCTACTTATTTTTAAAAGGCGGGACCGGCCTATCTAGATTACTGCAATGTGTTATATGCAGGGCTGCCTCGGAACACAGTTCAGAAACTTCAGCTGGTGCAGAATTCAGGTATCATTGTTTATCTTTTTACTTGGGTTAACAGAAAACAACAGTGATACTTAGGAACATAAACTTTCAGATTTTTTACTTTTATTTATAAAAAGATTATATACACACACCATTAAACAGACTTTAGAAGACCGCATCAGACTTTGTTGTGCATTTGCTGGGCTCAGCTCTTGACCTGGGTGCTTCACATTGACTGGTGACCTGTGAGGTAATATGCTGATGGCCTTATTTCATGCATGTGGGGTGTATGTGTGTTTGTGTTTCGCAGTCTATAGCAGTTTCCTCCTCCAGACATTCCCCCAGCATGCGGATGATCCTGTCATCCCTCAGCATGGGGAGATCCAGCATGGACACGGGGTGGTGATCCAGTGGGTCCTCCCACTCTTCTCCCCACACACAATTAGAGAATGCCTGAAAGGGATTAAGGTTCCTGTATCCTGTGGTTGGCCTTTGGTTTGTTCCTGGCTGTACCCTGTATTTGACCTTCACCAGGGGCAAAACTAGGTTTTATTTTCCCCGGGTCAAAGACCCAGTTTGGCACACACCCCCCACCCCGCTATGACTTTGCCTTCAGTTGTGACCTACTCTTCACCCCATAGCTGCTGGTTCATCTCAGACTGTGGCCTTGGACTCTGATTCCATTCTCTGCCCTGGCATCTCTCTGCACTTTTCTCCCAGCCATTCCAGGACCTGGCGTTTGGCTGAGAAAAACATATATGGAGAAAAGTTTCCACATTCCAATTCTCACCTGCACACCCCTCTTGTTTTGTTTTTAATTGGAAATATCACTCCTCCTTCTTCCTAAGCAATTGGGACAGTTCTGGGTCGAAGCACACAGAACTGCCCCTGTCATGTCATGCCAAGCTTTGCTTATCTTCAGGTAACACCAGTGTGCTTCCTTCTCTGCTGTGGTTTGTTCCCTTAGCAGCATCCTTCAAGAGGAGAAGGAGGCCTCCTTCTGTCCTCTCTCTCCCCCCCCCCACTGCCCAGAGTAGGCAGGCAGCTTGGTGATTGATGGCCACTTTCCCTCCATCGCGATCGATGCTGTGTCACTCGGTCAACATGGTAGGGATTTTTTCCTTATTTAAATCAATCAGGCCTGAAATTTCTTGCTGGCTCTGACAGCTGTGGAGCCCATGTGGCCAGTCCAGGCTTTCCAAGAGCTGGGGAGCCATGAAAGGGTAAAAGGGTGGGGGAAGCCGTCTATGAGAAAACTAATGGGCAAGTCAATCTGTGCAAGTGAGGTCCAGGGACTTCCTAAAGACAGGAAGCCATTTTCGAGCACAGCCTGGACGGCTGAATTAACCTCCGGTGATAACTGGGTCTCCAAAACCAACTCTTGCAGGAAATCTTGCTTGGGTACTTCTCTGGCTCCTAGGGGAGGGGAGGGAAAGTGGATTCTTCCTCCCTAGGGCCCCTTGGAAGCTTATCAGGGAACGTGTCATGGACTGGCCAGATGCAAAGGAGTGGTGGGAGGGAACCCCCAAGGGGGAAAGACTCAGAGCCAGGGGATTGGTGGTGGGACGAAGATGAGTGGTCAGAGGGCGAAGTGGGAGCAGACTGGGAGGTGTCAGAAGCTGAAAAGGCAACAGGGTTTAGTGAGCAGGAAGAGGCTGTGGCAGAGAGAGGTCCAGAAGCAGAGGCAGAAGCAGAGACTGGGGAGGCAAGAGGTAGAGTGGAGGCAGGCTGCTGAAGAAGCCAGGGAGTCTCCTGCTCCTGCTGTGACCAGCTCCCCTCCCTTCTGGTCTTCTAGAAATCAGGGGAAATGAAGAAGGCAGAGCAAAGAGAAACAAGACGAAGGAGCCTCAGGTTACTGGGGAAGGAGGAAACTCGGAGAGCTGTGGGCAGGCAGGGTCCTCCAGCCCTTGCAACTGCCTCATTGGGGCAAGACCTACTGGGAAGAGTTGCTGTGATCACTACTTCTGAGCTGTTTTGATTTCTTTGAATAAAGAGTTAACTTCACGGACACTAGGTGTTTTATTACTGACCAGCTCCTGGCTCTGGACTTAACATTCAGTGACGGCAGACAAGCTTCTGGAAAGCTAGTCTTCTGTAACTCATCCTTCCCTGCAATGTGTGTGAGGCAGGTTAGGTGGGCGCATTCCAGGGCGAACTCTTGGTTCATGAAGGCAAACTGACCCAACCAACCAATGTGGGGGAAAGTTCCCAAAGGGAGAAGTGGAAACTCTTCTGATTTTCCTTTGGGTTTCACAGAGTCACAGAATTGTAGAGCTGGGACCATAAGAGTCATCTAGTCCAACCCCTGCAATGCAGGAATCTTTTGCCCAATTTGGGGCTCAAACCCATTGCCCTGAGCTCAAGAGTCTCATGCTCTTTTCACTGATCTCTCTCCCCCCGTTTTCAGGTGAAAGGAGCTTCCTGTTTTGTGAAGCATTACCCCGAGAGTGATGCTGACTTGTGTGTGGTGGCATTCTATGGGACATACTCCCAGGTAAGTGTGTGTTTACAGGATTTCAGCCGCAGTCTCATTTCCTTCCTTACGCCCAGATAGGCAACTGATCATCCTGTTCCTGCCTGCACCTGCCACACAGCGAGGCTCCATTAAGGACGCCTCCTTGGCTTCCAGCAACATGGTCACAGCAGTCTGCCGTGCAACACATCGCTTTGAAGCGCGTGGGTTTTGTACGAGGGCCAAGCAGCTGCAGCAACATTTTCCTCGCGAGCACGCCGAGATGCCCCCAATCCACTGTCTACTCGCACACCTCGCACGCTCACTCCCTTGCCCATCCGGCCGCGGTTTTCCCCCGGCCCGTGTCCAGAAATACGCCGATCTGGGAGAAAAGTGGCCGAAGAGGGCTTACATCAGGAAAAGACTTGCCAGGGGCGAAACAGCCCCTCTCTCGCCTCCCTTTACGGCTCTTTGACGGCGGCAACAGGTTGGCCGCCGCCCATCCAGCGTTTCGAGATGGGGGGGGGGAGGAATCCATGGGCTCCAGCCACAAACCCTCGCGATTTCTTCATCCATTTCTTCTCCGCTTCCCGCCAAGACACCGTCTAAATCACACAGGCCGCACTGATGCCCAGCAACGCCGTCGCAGGAGTAAGAAAGTGCCAGGAAAGGGAAGAGCTTTTTGGAGGCTCGGTGACACTGCTGGGGGGTGCAAGGCAAGCTGTGTGTGCTTGGTGGGAAACTGGGTGACGAGAAAGCCACCCCCTCCCCTCGCTGCCTGCGGCGACTGATGGTTTGATGAGCATATAATCTGGCCCAGTTTCCACGAGGTATTCAAAAGGAGGTCACCTAGGAGCGCGCGGAGGGCCGGCGCTGGCAGCGGGATGCGCTCCCCCTGCTCTCTTCCTCTGCTACACTCCAGGCCCTAATGAAGCACGTGGCGCTCGCAGGGGGCGCGAGGGAGCCTCTAGTCTAACGCGAAACGCCTGTTCTTGTAGGCCGCAAATAAAACAGGCAATTTATAGAACCCACAAATAAGAGCGTTGTTCATTTAACTGACATGGTGGTTTGCTGGAGTTCCCCCACCGCCTGCTTTGTTCGAAACGGCTGGGGGAAAGACCCCTGATAAACTCTTCCCTTTTAAAATCATAAAATTGTAGAGTTGGAAGGGACCCTGAGGATCATCTAGCTCTACCCTCTGCAAAGCAGGAATATGCGGGATCGAGCAAGCGGGGTTGGGTTTTAATTTGCATTCGTTCTACTGCTGTCGGCCGCCCTGGGGCGTTTGGGTGCAAGGCGGGTTAATAGAAACAATCGTAAGAACGGAAATAGACGGCAATTGCGTGACGCCGCCTTGCCGGCCGGGCGTTTCTTCTTCCGCGTTGCCACCTCTCTTCTTCGGGGAGCGCCCGCTAATTAAAGCGCTCGGCTCGGCTTTGCCCGGCGGCTCCTCCTCCTCCCTGCCTGCCTGCCTGCGTCCCTCGCTGCCTCTTCCCCCGACGCGCGAAGAAGGGGACGCGGGCGCAGCTCCAGGTGGCTTCCGAGACGCCGCGGCGAAGTGGGAGCGGAGAGCGAGAGAGACGTCGAGTGCTGAGGTAAACAGATTCAAAGCCAATTATCCCGAGCAGCCTCCCGGCCTCCCCGCTTTGGGGGAAGGAAACGCCGCCAATGACAAGCTCGCGCGCTGGCAGGGACTGGCGGGCCGGGGCACGTGAATTTACAGGGATGGAAAAGCCCGCCCGTCTCGCAGAGTTCACTTGGGCTAACTAGGGAGAGCGTCAGCGCAGGACTTTGGGGCCACAAGTCCGCAGCAGTGCCGGATTTACATATAAGCTAAACACGCTATAGCTTAGGGCCCCACTCTCTTGGGGGCCCCCAAAAAAAATTAAAGCAAAAAACAACAACTGGATGTACATGTCCAAAATATAAGATAAAAAAACAAATAAAAGAAAACCTACATACAGCAACAGTGTTTTGTGTTGTGTAGGCTCCTATTTGTTATGTGCAAAATGGCTTTAGATACCTATTAGGTCCATAAATTACTACATAGCATATATTCAACACGAAAAACAGCGACAATTTGCTGTTGACAAAGGACAGCTGGACATATAAAGGGCCCCATTACCTTCGGGAGCTTAGGGCCTCATCAAACCTAAATCCGGCCCTGGTCCGCAGCCTCACTCCTGAGGGACCCAAAACGTTGTAGGTCACGTTCTGAAGTGACTTGAAGGAACACATCCTTAACATCTGAAAAAGCCCAATTGCGTCCAGAGTTTAAAAGTACCTAACTGCGCCACTGCCGGTACTTCTGCAGAGGATTGGTATACCTTGCTTGGTATGTGTGGTGCTGGGGTTGGCATCATAGAATGTCAGAGCTGGAAGGGACCGCAAGGGTCATCCAGCCCAACCCTCTTGCAATGCAAGGATCTTTTTGCCCAACCCCCACGACCCTGAGATTAAACGTCTCATGCTTTGCTGGCTGAGGCAGTCGCGCAGTGCCCTTGGCTTTGCACAGGGGTGGTACTGGAGGGATAACCTGAGTTCAAATCCCAGCACTGTTGTAAAATCTGCTGGTGACCTTGAACCCGTCACTCTCTGACTCTCTCCCAGAGTTGTGAGGATGAAGGAGGTGGAGTGGGGACCTTGAAAACTATTTTGACCTCTTTGGAGGAAATCCTACATTGGACCTGCCTTAGCTGCATCCGAAATGTGAGCGAGCAGTGGAAGGCTGTCCGCTGAGGTCAGAGATTGTGTATAGAGAAATCCAGAGAGCAGCGTAAAGAGCAGCTAGAAGCAACGCCCTTTTATTTATTATTAGGGGCTCCTTGCAAAGATAGCAGGAAGGTGAATATTGGATGAGTGAAGACATAAAATGCAAACTAAGGGCCAGTTCACATAGATATGGTTATTCTTCATTACTGCAGCATCAAATGAAGACTTGTTCATGTGAATGAGCCACATAGAATTTTCACATCAGTTGCTCTGCATTTTTATGGAGTTGGTTCTCACTTTCAGCTGCAAATCATCCTGGTGAGTAATCAAAGGATGTTCATGAATGCTTGAACCACTGACTCAATGACTGCAGTTCTTTTTGGCTGGGTTGGGATGTGGAGGCATTTCCAGGTGAAGGCTTTTGCTGACACCCAGCCGGCTGGATGTGGGTGTCCAAGCACATACCGTAAATCAACCCCAGTGCTACTGACTTCCTTGTCCCAATGCTACAATTAGCAGGGTCCGTGTTTGTGGCAAAGTCCAGACAAGATTTTTTTGTATCTTTTCTCTAGGCCCTGTTTCCCCACTTCAGATTTTGCACTCAAGTCTGCAGCCAGCACTGCACTCCTATTATTAAGAGTGCTTCCTTCACTTCATTTTAGTTTTGTATCCTTCTACTGAATATACAGAGGTAATGCAGAAATGAGGTAAAATTCACCAAAGATGCCAGTTTAGTAATAAAGAGGGCAATCTATCCCTATGATCTGCCTCCTTCCTGAATCAAAGATGTTGGATCTTCTCTTTATACTTTGGACTTTAAGGAGGCTGGTTTCAAAAAGCTTAAGGAGTTAGTGGATGAGATCCTATACTCAGAAATACTCAAAAGAGAAGGGAGTCCAAGATGGATGGGAGTTTCTTAAAGGTGAATTATTGAAGGCTCAAATGCAGACAATTCCAACAAGAAACAGAAGTGGAAGGCATCTAAATAAAGTGGTGTGGTTGCTTAAGGAGCTTGCATATGAGCTCAGATGTAAGAGGGGCATGTAGAAGAAATGGGAGAAAGGGAAAATCACGAAGGAAGAGTATACACAAGTAGCCAACAGTTTCAGGAAGGTCAGGTGGGCCACTCAGAATGAGTTCAGGCTTGCAAGAGAGGTTAAAAATAAAGTTAAAAGGATTCTTTGGCTATGTTCAAAAGCAAGAACAAGTGGTCCTCTGCATGGAGAAGATGGAGAAATGCTGTTGGGGGACAAAGGGAACTGCTCAACACCTACTTTGCCTCTGTTTTTACCCAAAAGGAAAGCAGTGACCAACCTGGTGATAACAGAATAATGCAAAGAGGGAGCTGCAGCCAAAGTCAGGAAAAGAGGTGGTAAGTGAACACCTAGCTACTTCAAATGAATTCAGATCTCCAGGGCCTGATGAGCTGTATCCAAGGGTACTAAAGGAGCTTGCAGATGTAATCTCAAAGCCTCTGTCTATATTCTTTGAGAATTCTTGGAGAACAGGTGAGGTCCCTGCAGACAGGAGGTGGGCAAAAAGGGGGGGGGGACCCGCTACCGGCAGGTCAGTACCATTCTATGATTCTATGAATTTGTGCAAATGTACCTGTTCACTCCTATGTCTCCTGCCCAACCCCAAAAGAAGAAGGAAGCAGCTGGGGGGGGATCATGCAGTAGCTGGACTGACAGTTCATAAATAATCTGGTTTAGCTTCTATTGAAGGGAAATTAGTGAAAGGGTGAAAATGATAAATGTACGCACAAGTACACAAACACATCTGAGCAGATCCCTAAATTGAAATCGCATGCATGCTCACACACAGTGATGATTACAATCCCTTCCTTGGTATCTGCAAAAATCCATCCTCTTTGCTAATTTTTTTTTAAAAAACAGATACTATTCACTTCACTTAGTTTAAGTGCCCGTAACACAAATGCAAAGCATACAATGGCTAGAATGTACATTCATTTTTAAAATGGTTCTCTCCCCCCGTATTCCACATTAATAACATTCACAAATGACATATTCCAGACTGGAAGCCATTTTTAGCATCAGTTGTGAGAACACCCTAAGCCTATTGGGCAGGCATGCAGATGGAAGGGCCTCCCTGGGGGCTGTCAGAAAAGAAATTATATTGTGACAGAGGGAATCCATGTTGCTTATCACTGTACAAAATTCAGCAGAGCACTGTGCAGGGAGAAACAATCTTTACACATATTTGCTCAAGTCTTTGGGGGCTTGTTTTGCAAACTGTGCAGACCACCTTCCCTGCCATCCCAATCCTGCATAAGCTGAATGAATGTGCTTGTGGCAAACTGGTCATGTGCATTGGCCTGGCACAAGCACAAATCGCTGGCGTGCTCACAATGAGCTATGTGGATTTTTTCCCACAGCTTATCGATGGCATGCTGTCAGTTTGTGCTTATGGAGGTCTGATGCACATGACCAGTTTGCCATGCGCATGTTCCATTCGTGCTAGGAGAAAACAGTGGCTGCACAGATTGAATTAAGCCATAACCATGGCCATATAAATTGCCCTTTAGTTTAACAAGCACTGAGTCACAGCAGAATCAAAGCATTGTGAGGCTGCAAGTGATCCCAGGTCATCTGTCCAATCCACTACATGGAGGTGAGATATACTGCTGTCTGTCACATTGACTTAATATATCCCTGACCATTGCTGTCCCTGCTCAGCCTCCAGTGAAGGACAAACTGTGCCAGCGTGGATAGTGTTAAACTTTGAACAGGAAGATCAGAGTTCAGATCCCGATTCTGCCATTAAGTTTGCTGAGTAGTCATAGTAGTCTGCATGTCATGCTTGATTACAGGCAGGAGTTCACCAGGACCTCCCCCCACCCACTCACCCCCATTCTTGCAGCTACATCCGAGCAATGGGAATTTGTGTGTGCATTGCAACAGGCAGGCCCTGACAGAGCATATTGTCAAAATTTGATTAAGGAAGAGCTCTTTCACATAATGCATAGTTAAATCATGGAATTTGCCACCACGAGTTATACTGATGGCATCTATCACTACATCTTTTGGTAATGAATTTCATAGTTTAAAAGGGAATTACACACATTCACAGAGGATAAGGTTGTCAACGGCTGCTAGTCACAAAGGCTAGATATATATTGCCTCCAGTATCAGCAGCAATATGCTTCTGAATGCTAGTTCCTGTGAAGAAATCAGAGGCAAGTTCTTCCATTTTCAGCTAACCACATTGGGTGGAATTCAGGGTCATGCTCAGTGGGATATGGGTGCACAGAATGAAGTCCATTCACAAAGTGAGATTTGCTCCCCCTGTGTACCTCCTAAATCTGTTCTTGGTGTTTCCCCAACCCCACCTCCCCAGAACAGATTTAGGGGGTGAGGGAGGGGAGGAAGGGAAGCGCCATTGCATGACTAGACTTCAATCTGTGCACACAGTAATTGTCATGGACTGGTTGGACACAGAGGAATGGTGAGAGGAGCCAGCTGGGGAACACCCAAGGGAAGAAGGTTCAGAGCCCTGTGAGTGGTGGTGGGACAGCGATAAATGGTCAGAAGGAGAAAAGGGAGAAGACTGGGAAGAGGAGGGTTCAGAAGCTGAAGAGATAGCAGGGCTTGGGAGAGTGAGTTGGGAGAGTCGGTGGCAGAGATAAGTCCAGAATCAGAGGCAGATGCTGAAGCAAGAGAGTGGAAGGAGGGAGGCCAAGAGGCAAGAGGAAGAGATGAGTCAGGCTAGTATCACAGATGTCTCCCCCTCCTGCTGTAAGAAGCTCCCTTCCCCCCTGTCTCCCAGAACAAGAAGAGGGCTGAAAAGAGCAGAACAATGATAGGCTGCATGAAGGCGTGGTCTCTGACTGCTTGGGAAAAGCCCTGGAGAGGAGGAGACACAAGCTGTGGGAAGGCAGGGACTTTCAGCATCGGCAACTGATTTCATGGAGTAAGACCCACAGGGAATGAGCTGTTGTGTTCATTAGGTGTGATGCTCAGCCAAGTCTGCCAAGATCATGGTTTTGCTAATAAAGAGTTAACTCCAACTTTGAACTTTGTGTGATTTACTGACCCGCATGCGCTCTGACAGTAACTTAGATGAATCCCACCCATTGTGGTGTTTGGTGTGAACCAGGACAAGCTAGTTAGTTTTCACTGTGATTGGTTCAAACAAGCCACCTTCAAATGTTGGTTTATGGTCCTGGTTTGTTCAATAAACCACTTTAAACTTAAGGCAGTTTGCAGTGTGGATGTAACAAGAACCTGTGGTTAGTGAAAAATGGAAATGGATGATTCCTCCTCGTGCCTGTGCTGTGCGAGGAAGGAGCAGCTTCATGCAGGTAATGGTAAACTATGGTGTAGCATCACGTCTGAAACATATTAGTGTTTCTGATAGGTTTTTAGGGTAGCCAGCCTCATGGTGCTTGCTCCTGACCCCAGCCTACATCAGTATCAGGAAGGATGGTTTTTCATCTCACAGAAGCTGGGCCAATGCTTGTGAGGGAGAGTTACAATGGGCAGGCTTGCAGCATGGCTTGGGGAGACAGTGCAAGACGTCTGCTTTGGATCGTCTCTCCACTCAGCCAAGCAGAAATCTCATTACAGTTCAACACAAAGACTCCATCCCTGAAGCAAGTGCACCTGATCTTGCAGGAGGTGGCAGGGAAGAGGTGGAGGGAAACATACAGATGCAGAGCAGCAGAAGGGAAGGATTTCAGGAGTGCAAATGAGGCTAGCGAAAGGGTTGTTCCAGCCCAAACCATACCACCCTCCCCACTTTGTTCTTTCAGCTGGATGCTAGTACCCCTTTGTGCTCCACTCCTCCTCCCTTCTCTTTCTTCCCTTCCTTCCATTTAACAGAGTCCAAAGCTGGCCTGTTTCCATGCAGCTTAACCCCAGTCCCTGTCCCTCACTGCCTACCACAAACACACGCTCTTCCCTCCCTCCCAGGCTTTTGTCTCTGGCTGGGATAAGAAGCAGGTCATGCTTGGGATAAAGACCAACTGCAGCTTGTTTCCCAGGGGGACAACTGGCTATGCAACACCTACCCCATAAAGTGCTGCTGTCTGCTCTTGTAACACGATTAAATGCCTGCCTGTGGCTCTATGATAAATACTCATACCTCCTTGCCCCACTTCAAGCAGTAAGCTCTCCTGGCCCAGAAATTTAAAAAAAAATATCCCAACTTATCTTACAAAAGCCCTTCAGATGACCCAGAGAAGGCAAACCCTGACTCTTGGTGGTAGGAAGAAGGCGGGGGGACAGGACACTCCTACCCCTAAAACTGGCATCTTTAACCCCTTTGGGCCCATGGGTGCACCTGCAACCTGGAGGAACTGTTGTGGGCACCGCAAATGAGTCACAGCTTTCCCCTCCCCACCTGCACCCCATTGCTCCCTGCACCACAATTAGGCTCATGAAAAGCATTCTCTTGGCTAATGAAGTCTTCTTTAAAATTTAATTTCCACACTGGGAAGGCTAGAACTCCAGAGAAAGCCTCTGTAAGCAGATGTTCATCCATGGAGCAGCCACACTGGTGTCCCACATCCAAAGGCATGACAGAACACATCACACTCAGCTGTCACCCCTGGAAGTGCCCTGCCTACTAGAAGACCTCCGATCCTACAGGATGCCTTCCTCTACTCACTCAGAGGCTGGGGATTCTTCCAATGGCATTGCTTCGGTATTAAGTAGCACAATTAACTACTGGCTGTCATGGTGGGGCTTTGCTACTAGCTCATTACTATTTAACAATGCTAAATAGTCAAGAGTTAGCCAGGTGGTCTCCTAGCATGTGTTGGACCCTTGCTCAGATGTAGCTATCCACATGGAACCTCTGATGGGCTATGGGGCCAGAAAAAGAGAGATGGTGTGCAAAAAGCAGGCTGCGTGGTGTCCATGCCAGCATGCGGTGTGCCCAGTAGAAGCTCTCCCAAGACTGGCTCCTCTCCAGCAGCATTTTGGCCTTTGCGTGCCTTGATGGCTCCAGCTCTCACATGCAGCTCCCTCTCCGTCTCTCTGTATGCGCTGCTGGGCTTTGGCTCCCAGCCATTGCAGGCGCTGTGCAGTGCACAGCTTCTCACCTGTCAGGAGCTACATGCACTCTGGGAGAGCTGGGCTGGTGATAATGGAGTCCCCCCGCCCCCAGCTGTTCAGATAGATCTACATCAAGGAAGGTAATCAGGTTGATTTTCTGCAGCAGGTACAATCAGACAAAATAATTCTGACAGGCTTGGAAAGAAGTCCCTGCCAGGGAAAAGGGGGTGCGGAGGAAACGCCTAGCCTCGGAGCAGGGAAAAACAGGGACCTCTGTCTCAGTGTAACAGCGCTCGGTTGGTGGCCCTGTGTCTAGGAGCCTCCACCTGGAAGACCCCACCAAAGAGCTCTGCACTGGGTTTGGGACTTTGCCGCTTGATACTTCTAAGGCCACACAGCCTCATTTCCATTGCACACCTAGAAGAATACCCCATGTTCAAGCAAAGAGGTCTGTGCATATGGGCTTTGTGATCCTGGAACAAGTCACCCCCTCTGCCCCAGCCCCACTTTGTACCATTGCAGCCATTTGCATCGAGTGCTCACATAGCGTCGTCATTGTTTATTATTTATAAAATGCCTAATATATACTAAGAACTGTACCTGAGCAGAGCTCCTTCCCTGAGGCTCACAATTTAAAATACATGAGACCAAAGGAGAGGGGAGTTGTAAGGAGGGGAAGAAAGAACTTTGCTGGATGAAAGCAATAGGAAGCAAGACAGAGTTAAAAACTATTCAATTAATAATCATAACAATAAGAAAAGAAGAAAACACACAGAAATGCAAGAGAGAGCACGGCGAGTGTTTTAATAATATCCTAAAGCAAGGCAAAGAGGCCAGCTGAGTATCTGAAGTGAGAGAATTCAGTGCACAAGGGGCCAAGAAAAATCCAAGCCACAAAAGTGGGGACGCTTAAAGGAGGGTTAGTAAGATGCGTATTTGATAGACTGAGCAGCTAAGAAGGAGGAGAGGCAGAAAGCAATGAAGATAGATAAAGAAGAAGGAGCAAGACCGGGAGGAGGCTTAAAGGTCAAAAGTTTAAATTTAAAATGGAACAATAGAGGAAGTCAGCGAAGGGAAACAGAGACACGTAACATGTTTAAAGTGCAGGGAATAAAAGATACACAAGCAAAAATGTTGAGGATAAAGATAATAGGCTGAAACTGTGAGACAGGACAGGAAGAGAAGTAAGTAAAACATGACATCTGGGATGGGGAACCTGTGACCATCCATAGGACTCTATCTCCTACCTTCCCTGGCCACTAGTCGTGCTGGCTAGGACTGATAGGGAGTTGGAGTCCAATATACACTTTTTCGCCAGCCCAGGTGCTGGTCTGAGCCTGGGAAAAGCACATTCAGATGAAAGAGGAAGTGTTGCTCTTCTGACTTCCTTCTTCAGCTCTATGTAGTTTTGGGGGCAGGGCTGGTGGTAATCACCCTTGCCATCTCATGACAAAGGGGGCAGTGTATATGTGGGGAGCAGGAGAGGGGCTCATAGGCTTCATGCACCTGAGGATAGGTCCTCAAGAGTGTCAGAGCACCCACTGGTGACACATTAGCAACCCCAGCGATAGGGAACGGTCCAAGGGAGAACATAGAATTATACAACCTTGTGGGTTCCCTAGTCCAGCTCCTTGCAAGGCAGGATCTCAACTAAAGCATTCATGACAGATGGCCATCCAACCTCTGCCCAAAAACCTCCAATGAAGGAGACCCTACCATCTTGTGAGGGAGTCTATTCCACTTACGTCCAGCAAGACCTGAAACTCCTCTTTGTTTATTCTACAAATGGGTTCTAAGTAGCAAAAAAATGGTTAGCTGTTTCTGAAGCGGAATTTACTTAGTGATCTTAGGAAGCTATGCTCCATGCCTGACTGTCTTGTTCATTAATATAAAGTGAAAATGACACACCTGAATAACAAACTGCTGACTTAGTAACCAGATAAGAAATCCTTTGGGTGTGAGGAGACTCCTGATTGCTATCTTTTTTTCCTTCAAAAGAAGTTAATAGCAACTAGCTCAGCTGGTAAAGCGTGAGACTCTTAATCTCAGGGTTGTGGGTTTAAGCCCCTGTTGGGCAAAAGGAGTCCTGCATTGCAAGGGGTTGGACTAAATGATCCTCATGGTCCCTTCCAACTCTACAATTCTATGATTCTTTTGACCCCGACTTCATATGACTGGGACAATAGTGCTGGGGGAGGAGGTGTTAGCCATATTCCCCATTCGAAATGCACTGTTCAGGGCCAGTTCTACAATGGAGCAGGATGAAATGACCTGCTTCAGGTGGTACAAAGGTTTGTGTCATAGATAAAGGCTGGGATTGGTGTCTGAATGGTACAGCATATCTGTCTGAAGAGATAACCCTTGTGTGGGCACAGCACCATCTGTGCTCCACTTCAGACACCAACATATCTAGGATTAGTCCTCATCCACACCCCCATGACTTGCTATTTACCCCATGAGAAGGAGGAAAAATATCTATTCATTTGGTACCTGTACATTCCCCCTCCAGGCATCTAGCAGGTTAAGAGGCTGGTTTAAATTGAGACGATGATTGGGGAGGAAAGGGCTAAATCTTCCTTTATCCCAGCACCACACCAGAGTCCTGATCCAATTTTCTAGATGCTTTTTAAAAATACACAATCTTTGGTGTCTTGTCTCATTTGGTCCAGACAGTGAACGTTTATCATTGAGTATATATGGAAAGAAATAGAGAGGAGCAGTTCAGCAGAAAAACCAGCACATGTTCCTACTGTCCACATGTAGACTATGTCCATGCAATCTCAGATCAATGAATTGGCAGGGTCATAATTGTGCTGGTGAAGAGATGCATGTTTTGTCTAATCTCTGTTTGCCTCACCACTTAACCCCGGGAAAATCCACGGTTTGCTGCTGAATCGGACCAAACAGCAGTCAGGTTTTCCATGGATTGCTGTTTGTTCCAATTCAGCAGAAAAGAGTATGCTTTCCATGCGAAAGCAGTGGGGAAAATGCAGAACTACTTGGACCCATGCTTTCTAGGCAGGGGACAAGCAGAAGCGTGGACAAACCCTCACTTGGTCCAGCTAGTGAACATGTCACTGAGTATTTGTAGACAGAAATAGAGACGACCACTTTGTTGCTTTGGTTAATGTTTGTATAAATATCTCTGCACCTCATATTGTTGTGTAGGGTTGCTTTCATTAATTTGGGGGAGGTTTCTCCTTACACAGTGTGTGCATGTGTAAAAATAGCTGTTCTGGTCTAGGAACCAGGGTCAAATCTCTGGCCTGATGAGATGACATGATCTGGAGAGGAGCCTGCTCAGAACTGAATTCTCTTGGGCATGAGCTGCTCCCAGAATGGGTACAGGAATACAGAGATTACACATGATAGGGCATGGCTGTTTGTGTGTGTTTGTGGAGTGTGGGCAGGGAGACATTTGCACACACAGCCACTTGTCACAGGCTCATCTCAGACCATGACAGGCATATGGAATGGGGAAGGAGGACAGGTGCCAGCTGTGCGACATAACCAGGGAGCCAGCAGGAATATGCACAGCTCCAGCACTGAGTGCAGCCAGGCAGAGACACAGCAGGGGACTCGGTTTGGGAGGCAGACGGCTGTGCAGGATGATGATCAGGCTGGTTCTATGCATCCAGGAAGAACTCTAAAAAGTGAGCAGGCTGTGGTGATGAAGACGGAGGAGGGATGCCGATCGGACTCCTCACTACTGGCCAGAGAAAACCAGCAACGCTGCCCCTAACAAAAAGTCACTGTGACAACATCAGTGCAGAGCAAGTCAGCAGAATAAGCAGCTTATTTGTGAAGCAGAAAAGATGCAAGCCCTGTTTAGGCATTCCTCTTTGCCCACTAATCCAGTGCCTCCTTTCTCATGTTCAGCAGAGATCCTACACATGTGCATTCTGCCTGTGCAGTCTCAGATCCTTGAATAGCCAGGGTCAGGATTGTGCTGGCAAAGACCAGGGAGGTTTTTTCAAGGCACAGTCACATAAGGGAGAGGCCAGCAACTGAGACTTTACCTCACCTCCATTCCAGATGAATATCTGAACAGGGCTGTGGTATATGCCCAAAGAAAACCTTTCAGCCTCTGACTGGATGCAAGGCTAAGTGGGAAAGTCAGAGAGAACATATTACACCTATTTTGAAACATCTGCACTGGCTGCCAGTTCATTTTGAGGCGCAATGTAACATTCTGCTTTTGTCCTTTAGACCCCTGCATAGTCTGATCCTATGCAGCCTTCTCTCAAATAACACTGCAGAGCTCTTAGATTGTCCAAGGAGACCCTCCAACAGATTCTATCCTCTTGGGAGAGGAGATTGTTATCTACAAAGGCAGGGCCTATATATATTTTACTTACAATCTTTATATGCTGCACAACAACTAGGTACTCTGGGCAGCTTACAATAAAAATAGCCGGTGGCTCTAGTGCCAGTGCTGGATCAATGAGCACCCCTGAACTGTGAATTTAGGGAGAGTGCAACCACCATCAAAACTGCCTGGCCAGACTGACAATCCCTCACCCTCTGCACAGTAGCCCATCTTGTCCAGTGTATTGGTCCTGTTCAGTCGATTGCCGCTGATCTAGCACATCCACTGCCTCTCCTGAGTTTGATGAAATTGAGAAATGACGCAGTTAGGTACTATCTGTGTCATTCCCGTGGGGCATTCTGCTCCTGCTTGGTGGAGAGAGATAGATAGATGACTATTTCAGAGCAGCCACATCATCCCACTGGAGCAGGGAGCAGGTTTAATTTAGCAAGATTTCTGCCATGTTGTTGCTCATTGTTGGTGCAGGGTCCCCAGGATGACTGATTATTATGTGGTGATATTATTGGTCGGAGGACCTTACGTAGAGATACAGGACCAGCTTCTGGCTGTAGGAACTGTGTCCTGGAGCTGGGCTGGGCTATGCTCTGGAATGGAGGGCAGTCTTATAAGTCGCTAACAGAGTGTTCCTCACCCCCCACACAGAAAGGGGAATTCCACCAACACATGAGACTGAATGCTGGTGCAGTGAGGGAATGTCCAGAGACAAAACTCTGCTTGGAAGGGATGGGATGGGATAAATTCATGAGAGATGCAAGAGGGTCTTCTTTTGGGGTAGGGATGCCCAAGAGCATTACCGTATCCTAGATACTCCCAAAGAGGAAGATGGGAGCAGAGTACTGAACGCCAAGGAGTTTGAGCACATGAGCGATGACAAGGATGGATGACCAAATGTCAAGAGAAATCCCAGTGGGATTATGAATTGTTGGCATGGTGGAGAGTTCCACTTAGCTTCCTTGCAAGCAGGAATGTGGACACAAAAAGCCCTCTTTGGCACACGCTGGAGTGCCACTCAGGACTGTCATTAGGGAAGCGTCAGAGGGCAATGGCTGTTTCCAGAGTGATACCAATTACTCATTTGTGTTTTCACACCACAGAAGCCAGAGGAGCAGCCAGGCGGGTTGTGTCAGAGCCGTGCCAGTGCATTTCCCAGTGCATGGTGTGTGCAATGTTGTGCGGTGGAAAGGGATGGAGATGCAGCAGGACCCAGTGCAGAGCTCTCAGTGGAGATTATGGCCTGCTGCTCTGCCAAGTGTGGCCTGGTTGTTCAATTGGATGGCTACACATGTTGAGCAGACGCTGCGTGTGTGGCCACTTTAAATCACTGCGTTGCAAGCCATTCTTCCCAAGTGATCCACAAAGGTATGCATACAGGTGGATTGGGGGTGGGGCGGTGGCAACTGTGGGTCTTTCTGGGAGGTGGACTGTAACAGAAGAAAGGCTCCCCACCACAAGGCAGCTGCTATATTGTACAGTCTTACACAACAGAGTTTAGCACTTGCACTACAGGGCAGCTGTTTGTGTGTAATTGCCCATAGTCAAACTATAAAATGCAAGAAGAGAGACACCTGTGACATCATTAAACAGGAAATGAGGCTGTGGACATTGCTGTAATGATAGGAGTTGATTCTTACTCAGAATCACATGGGGGGGGGGATAAGTGTTTTTCTTGTTATGGAAAGCTTCCCAAACTGCTCAACCAGTTTCCTTTGAAAGTCCATGGTGGCCAAGCAAAGATTATACAGTTAAATTTAGCAAAAGTTACTCATAAGTCTAGGAATTCTCCCAAGTCCTCCTACGCACCAAGCTGACTGGGTATTTGACTGTGCAGATACAATAAAATACATTTGGATTAGGGAATTTAGAGAGAAACTACATGCAAATGCAAATAAAAAAGCCCTGTTTTTTGTTTTAATGAAAAGCAACACCAGAAGGCTTTAATTTTAAGGTTAGTAGCAATAGGGGAAAGGGGCACTTAACCCTTTCCCCACCACCTGTTTTTCTGCTCAAGTCTCCCTCCCCAAGCTGCTTTTTTTTCTGCCATAGGAAGAAAAGCTGTTTAGTGGGGCAATTTGGAAGGAAAAATGGCTAACGGGAAATGGTTAAGCACCCCTCCCTGCTGCTGCTCTTCCACTCAAAATTGTGGCTTCCCAAGAATGCTTTTCATTTTGAAAAATGTCAGGGCTTTGTTAACAATCATCTGAATATAACAGAGAGTATGCCCATTTAAAAAGAATGATTTTGGGCTGTTCTTCCATCTCCTTTTGTGGGACCAACAGAGCATTAACTACTCAGCCTAAAAATACAAAGAAGAATCAATGCTGAGTCCCCAGCTTGGGAAGAACAATGCGACTGCAAGTGACAAAGCAAGAGAGAGGAAATCCATAAGGCTCCTCTCTGTGAATGTGCTACCGGGTTGGAGAAAGTAACCTACAAAGGTGTTTGATTAGCACCAGGGAGGACATGAGCTATTGTGAGGAATCTGAATGCTGATCGATGGTAAGGGAATCTCCAAGGGTTATGCAGATTTGATTTACAAAGCGACTGTGTAACCAATACATTTCCCCTGTCTTTCTGTTCCTTATACTGAGAGCCAGGATGGCATAGTGCTTGGAGTGTAGGGCTAGGGCCTGGGAGACCAGGGTTCAAATCCCCACCTGGCCATGAAGCTCACTGGGTGGCCTTGGGCTAGTCAATGCCTCTCTGCCTGACCTACCTCAAAAGGTTGTTGTGGGAATTAAATGAGGAGGGGAGAACCAAGTTCACCACCTTGATCTCCCTGGAGGAAAAGGTAGGATATCAATTAGATAGACAGATAGATAGATGATAGATAGATAGATAGATAGATAGATAGAAAGATGATATAGATAGATTAGATAGATAGCTAGATGATAGATAGATAGATAGATAGATAGATAGATAGATAGATAGATAGATAGATAGATAGATAGATAGATATTCAGTTGACTTACTGCCTGGCACTGTAATGGCTGACCATGAAGGAACATAAAAAACTGCCTCATGCCAAGTCAGATCATATGATTAAAACCAAGAGTACCATGCTTGAGTAGTCTTAATAATGGTTAGGTATATGATTCTCCTGTCCTGCTGCCAGTTTTTATTCCCATGTTTTCTCAGAAGTGCATGTGACTTGACGAGGTGTGTTTAGGACTGCAGCCTTGGTGACCTAAGTCTAAGCAAGGAATGGGCGTATTGCATTCTGGAAGCAGTACTTGGCAACCATTTGAATGGGAAGAACTATAGCTCAGTGACAGAAGACGCTTGAGGAACACACTGGTGATCACGAGCGAGGGAATGCCATTGCGCTTGTGTCCTGCTTGTGGGAGAAGGGTCCACTCTAACTTCGAACGAGCGTGTGCTTGGAAACTCCTCTTTGGTTTTGCAGACATCTTATTATGGGCTTCAGAGCCAGCTGGCTTGGAAACCCCTTGTTCTCTTTACCAGAGTCTGGGTGACAGAAAAATGGGCTTCCTGCTCAGATCAGGCAACACTTTGTGCCAAAAGCAATAGGGAAAACATACAAGGCCAACAAATACCCTGTGGCCTTGCTCGCACAGCCACCTTTTCCCCCTCCTTTCCTCAAAGTGGCTTCCCACTTGCAACAAGCAGCTTGCGGTTGTGGCAGCATGACAGCAAACCTCAGCATGAGCATCTGATCCGTGCAGTGCAACATCACAACTTCTGCTCATGGCAGGTGAGTCACAGAGCTTGTTTGCCAAGAGTAGGCCGTTTCTGTTGGCCAAAACTGTGGGATGCAGCCACTCTGGGGAGGGACTGTGCCCTTAGCGTAATTCAATTCAAGCTGCCCAGAGTGGCTAGGGCAACCCAGTCAGATGGGCAGGGTACAAATAATAAATTATTATTATTATTATAATAAGGACATATTCCAGGCAGGCAAGAGCACTTCCAGAGTGTGTGGAGAGCGGGACTGAGGAGCGATATGTCCTGAAGGCCAGAGAGACCTGGAAATTGTGAGTTTCCCCCATACTTTTATTTTCTGTAACAGCTGACAAATTATTTTTGTTATTTTAAAGTTGTTCTTCAAATTCTGGTCGCCGAGGCCTGGCTTACGCATGCAGTGGGGCTTATGTGGATGCAAGAAGCATGCAACAGGAAATGAAGGAGAGAACCCAAAGAGGCATTTATCCAAATTCAGACGTGAGATGCTGCAGAAGAAAAAGAATGAACTGGATCATCTTAGACAGAAGGTGAGTGACTCCATTTTTCCAGTCTTCCCTTGAAACAGAAACCAGCACAACAGGCTTGAGCCTTGACTAGAAACTTCCTCCTTTACATGTTAGCTTCCTACTTGCAGCAAAGGCTTTTTTCAAATTGGGGAGCATTCAGATTGGCATTCTGCCCCCTGCAATCTGAAGTGGTACTTAGCATTCCAGCGGCATCCTTCCTACGTCATCCCCTGCATGTGTAGTGCTAGCCTCCACAGAAAACTCTACCCTTTGCAACCAAACCTGTGATATTCATTCTTTGTAGGGAGCATATTGGTTTCAGCTCTCTGCTACAATCGAGGCAGCTGCCTCTAGAAGGTCAGGTAGCTCTGTAAATTGGAGGTTTTAAAAGACACCCCAGTTGTCACCAGAACTGGGTATCTCAATACAGGAAAGCCAGTGCAGGGACCACGGAAATACTGGGCTAGCAAGCCACACTTGGCTCCCGTCGGGGGCAAACTCATCCTTTGAAGCAGACACCCCCCATGGCGCTTTCTGCTGGGGAAAACAACAGAGGCTGGACACTCTTGCCGCAGTATGGAGTGCCATTAAACACACTTGTCTGCAGCGAGAGCCTTACAAGCCAAGGGAAAGCAGGCACTTGTTTTGCTCTGCAAACAAAAGCAATGGTTGTCATGCACCCCACATGTTTGAGCTCCCCCACCTTGTCTTAGCAGAAAAGAACAGCAGCAATCTCCAGCCCGGAGCCGGGATTAATGGCAGCATTTAATTATGCCACTCTGCAGCAGCAGCTGCTTTCGTTCCACAAGGAGTTGGGGATGGAGTGTGCACAGGGGAAGCAATCGTTAGGAGCCAGACAGAACCATCAGAGTCATGTTTACTCAGGGCTAAGCCCCACGGCGTTTAATGGGACTTCCCTGCTAGTACATGGGTTGAGGATTTCAGCTTAAGGTTTCTCCAGACAGCTGTTCCACCTGCAGTTTTTGGATTCGCCCCTTGATCCTTCAGTTCCATTGCCCACTTCTTCAGATCCTTACCAAAAGACCAGGCTTGCTCAAAGAAAGTCTCTTTTGTTAGGGTTAGATTACACTGAAGAGCCACTGCTTGTTGAAGTAGACAATACTGAGTAAAATAGACCAACGTACAAGGCAGCTTCCTGTGTTCCTTGTACATAAGCCCCAGAGCTCCATCAAATCATTCTCTGTGCTTGGAACAGAAGCCTGGGTGAGTCAAAGGTCCATAGCAGCCAGGTAATTTCAGATGATAGCTCCATTTCAGCAGGGGCAGATCTACTATGAAACTAATGAAGCTTAAACTTATTGGCCCCTAATCCTCGAGGGGCCCCAGAAGCGACTTAAGTCCACATTACTTAAAAATGTTGGGTCCAGTAGGCCCAATTTGAGTCACATGGCTCAAATTGATTAATTTTTTGTTGTATATATTTCAACAATCCCAAAGTTTGAGAGTCAGTAGCACAGATGTTGTAAAGGTGTGGTGCTCTGTCATGGAACAACCCCACTGAAGAAGATAAGAGTGGCTACCCAGGCCTCATTGCAAAGGGACCCCCATAAGAGTTTAAGCTTCAGGGCCCTGAAATGTAGGTCCACCAGTGCTTTTGAGTCAATTCTAGCCCTGCTCTCATCACACAGTTTCCTTCCCAGTTGGCACCTGGGTCTAAGGCCCACCAGCTGGAGGTATTTAAAGTCGGCATCTCATACTCCTCTTTGGGATTTGGGGAGGTAAGGCTGGTTTCCCCCTAGCTGTGAGTGATGCCGCCTGGGTGCCCCTTTCCACCTCAGCCAGAGGCAGGGCAACACTGATCCCAGGGTTTCCTCAGGGAGAGATCCAGCACTGCCTCTCATTGTTCCCTGGCAGTCCAGGTGTGGCCAGGGGATCACTGGAGGGAATAGACTAGAACCCTCTGGATAGGGAGGGTGCCTGCCTTCAGTCTCCCCCGGGGAGGTCTATGAGGTGAGGGCTAGTCTTGAAGGGCGGCTTTCTCTCCTGGAGGGAGTTCAGCCACTAGTTGTAGGCTATGTTAGACTCAGCTCTCCCCCTTCCTGATTAACTCAGGGCTGCTTAAACCAGCTTCCTCCCCCTTCATCAAGCCCATAATCACCAGCTGAGACTGTACTTGCCCAGCAGGCAGGCATGTGAGAAGGCACCTTACTGCCTGGTGTTTGATTGTGGGTGATGTCTCTTGGTGACACCCCAGTGTGGCCAACCCCATTGGATCTGGCAGGAGCAATGGATGCTGTCTTAAAGGTACAGGCAGCACTGATGCTGCTTGGTAGGGAGGGAGCCCTTGTAGCTCACCAAAACAGTCATTACTTGTTGGTGAGGGGTGCAGCAAGATCAAGCAATCTTTGAGCCACCACATTCAGGATAGGAGAAACAGCAGACTTGCACCTGCAGTTTGAAGTGGTTCAGAATAGCAATGGGTAAATCACATCTGTCTCCTGATTGGTGTTGTTTGGTTTTTAGTGTATTATTCCATACTATTTGGTCTTACCTGCATGGGACCAAGATACGAGCTGGCCAAGGGAACAAAAAGTCCAATACAATACACACTTATTTTGCAGGTCTGTAGAGCACCAAGGCCTCACACCACCACCCAACCTGTGCTGTGCATATTTGGTGGAGCAACTCCATTCCTGAACAAGCCTATTCACTTTCAGGGTTGTTGTTTTTTTCCTCCACTGTGGTCATTGGCACTATCAGACCCCTCCCTTCATCTATAAAGGTCTTGCTATATCATTGCACTTGCTTTAGGCTGCACCATGCAGACTTGCTGAGGAGTCAGCCCTGCTGACCTCAGGACTTCCTTCTAAATAAAACTGCATAGAACCAACCTGTTAATAAAGGAGAGGGCCAGTTGTCTAATAAAATGGAGATTTAATTAAGAATGCCAAGCACTGGATCTTACAGAGGAAATTGATCCGGGTTCTGGAGGTGCACTCCTGTGAAATGTGAAACCCAAGCTGTTTTGCTAAGAAGGGAATACAGTGGGAAATATTATTCACACAAAATTCACAGAAGAGTTGGGGAACCCTGTGAGTGTGCCACATACCTGAACGTCCTTTAGACAGACATTCTGGAAACACAGGATAAATGATTAACAGACTCGGAATGCAATCCATTGACAGAAGCCAGACGAGCGCAGACACAGAGCATACCCAGAGAGAAGAGGCTGTGCAATCAGCGTGACTGAGAGGAGATTGAAACACAGAGGCATTGTCTGCCACAATGTCCCATGTATGAAAACGCCAGGAGATGCTATCGGTGGTTGTACAAGATTTCACATTGAAAGGGGAGGGGTTAAGGATTGTGTCTGATCCTGAGGGAAGGAAGAGAAACATCGGAGGCAGTCAAAGGCTACACTACATCGTGCAGCTGGATATGAAGAGTGGATAAAAAGAATGGGACTGCAAAGGTGGGGTCTTGACTTTACTGGACAGGGAGATCTCTCTCTCTCTCTCTCTCTCTCTCTCTCTCTCTCTCTCTCTCCTTGAACTTAGGGTAATTCAATGAAATTGACTGGCAGCCACCAATTCAGACATTAGACAAAATAACATCTTCACCTAACACATAACCTATGGAATTCACTGATGCAGGATTTATTGATGACCATGTGATTTTGAAGAAGCATCAGAAAAACAGGGGAGATGGAAGTTGTCAATGGCAACTCTCCACGTCGAGAGTTAGGAATTTAAATTTGCTTCCCTTGGGCTGCATTCATATAACTGTCAGGCCAATGAAACTGTGGGGGGATATTTTTGTTTGTTACTACGGTATGCATGTATTTTTGTGTTTTTACATTGTAAACCACCCTGTGATCCTTGGGTGAAGGGTGGTATAGAAATTTTAATTAATAAATCATCATCATCATAGCAGCTCAGTATTGTCTACAGTGACTGAGAGTGGCTCTCCAGGATTGTAGATAAATGTCTCTCCCAAGCTTCGGTAAATATCTCTTCCTTTCTCTCAAGTAAGAGCCTCTGTTGTCATGATCTGAGTGGGAGCCAGGAAAGGCAGTTGGGTGGAACAGTCAGACTCCCTGGTTTCCACACTGCCCAAGGTTTTGCCCCTTCTGCAGGGCAGAGGTAAGACACCTGTGCAGTGCATGAGGTGTCCAACTCTAGGCCTGCACTGTTCTTCCTGCTAAAAACAAACAAACAAACAAACAAACAAACAAACAAACAAACAAACAAACAAAGAAACACCTCACTTGGGTTTGTGTCAAAGGAAATGGTTTCAGGCTCAGCATTCGAAAGGGCTGGTGGCCCCTAGACAGGGGGTATTTGGCCATGTTCCTTATAGGGCTGGGAAAGAGGGGTTGGAGCCTCCCCACTGAGATTTGGGACAGGTGGGTAGAACCTGTGGAGAGGGCTAAATGAGGAAGGCCCCAGTTCCATATTTAATCCAGGTCAACCCACCTGCTGTGATTCTGCCCATGGAAAAGTATGTTGTGGGTGCAGTACATTTCCTCAATGCATAAAAACAACTTTGCCCTAGCCACACACAGAGAGATCCCTGTAAATCCCACTTATCATCCTCTTATTTCATCCTTTATCCACCTGTCATGCCACGTCCTTAACTGGGAGTTATGAAAGATTGAGTGGGCCAGCGAAGGCAGCTGATGGATTCACGGTCGCAAGCTGGGAAATGTCCTTTGGATAAATCTCCTACCTTCTTAAGGGAAATGGCGATTTGCCATACCTAATGCTGAGCCAAGGATTGGAGACTTGGGGCCTGCATACAATGAAGAAAAGTGGAAAAGGAAGACGGGGATATCGTGTATGGATGATGCAGCAATTTGAGAGTTCCACACAGGTGGGATGCTATGGCAGGAGGGCTGCCACTTGGCTTTTGAATGCCAGGCAGGCTGAAGCTGGCATGGAAAAGTGAGCAGAGACCCATCCTCTTGAGAATAGGGAGCATATGCAACTAGTTTTGTGGAAACTGCACTGGCTGCTGGTTAATTTCCAGGCCCAAATCTGCATGCTATGGCTTTGGTGTCAAAATTCTGCATAGCCCAGAGTTAATTTCTCCCCCTATTTATCCACTCACCACCAATGAAGTTCTAGTTTGGGCGCCCTGCTTTGAGTTACCCCCATTGTTTGAGGTTAGATTGGCCACAGCAAGAGCACAACATGGATGTCTTTTTAGGAAGGCATTTAGGAACTGAACAGGGTTCTAACAGGAGGTAAATGTTTCTACATTATAATTAAAACAAAAACAATATATGTCTGAAATATTGTGTGTGAGTTGTCTGGCATGTAGATGTGGGAAGGTTAGAAATAAATATGCACATACACACAAAGAGATCCCAGTAATTCAGCTTGATAATATATCCATGCCAGGGGTACTGTCTATGATCCCTGTGGAATTGTTTTCTCTCTCTCCCTCTGTGTGTGTGTGCGTGCGCGCATGTGCGCGCGCACACACACACACAATTGCTTTCATGAGGGCTTGCAAAGAGAAAGAATTGACTTGGGAGGGGCTTGTTTACTCTACAAAGATACAGAGCTTGCTATCTTAGATTTACTCTCCCAGGGTTGTTAGCCTTGGATAACAAACCCTGTCAATAGAAAGAAGGAATTTCGGGGGTTCAACCCATAACTCTTGCTAACGCTTTCTGGTCACTCACAAGCCATTGTGTTTCTCCATGGAACTGTACACTGTACTCTCATCAACTGGAGAAAGCAATCTTGCCTCTTTTTTTCCCCATGGGTGAAAATGAAGTGAGCCAGGAAGGCCACAGGCTTGACTCCCCGAGCTCATTCCAACTTCAGTATCATTGCTCTGCTTAAGTATTTCAGGGAGGGCATCCTTCAAACCTACCACCTCTGCATGGCAAATTGCTTTGAATTTTTCATCTGCCTGCAAACACTGCCCCTAAAACTCACAGCCCTGTAAACTGGCTGAAATCATTCAGTGGAGAGGAGAAACAAGCTAAGGAAGGCATGTTTGACAAACCCTCACCGTGATCAACTCCTGCCTGCAAACCTATGTCCCCACTGTGGAAGGACATGAGGGTCCAGAATTGGCTTTCACAGTCACTTAAAACCATGTCCATTGAAGACATTCTTACTCAGCCAGGAGTGGTCACCAAAGACTCTTCTCTCTGGGTCATGCAATGCACTGTCCATGGTCCTGATATGGGACCCGCATGTTCTCCTCTGTTACCTACTTTGCCCAGTACTCCACTCCTGTTTCAGATTGCAGGCTCTTTCCTCCCTCCCTCTCCGTGTAGATGCCAGATGTGAACAGAAGAAACTGAAGTTCCTGCACATTCTGTTCCCAACCTTTGTACAGAGTGTTATGCTTCTGTCCTGGCCCTCCCTACACTCTCCCTAGACTTCCTTGTTGCAGGCTTGGCATAATTCTCTCTCACACACTCTCTGCAAAACCACTCAGCTCCTCATCTCTCATATGGCTTGGGGAGGTTGCCATGGGAACATGGCATACTACCCCACTTAAACTTGAATGCAAAGTGATTAACAAAGCTGGCTTGAATCACTCAGGAAATCTGAGGAGGACCCGGAGGCTCTGAGTTCAAATGAACATCAGGAAAAGTACACATCCCAGGGTAGAGTGCAGCTTGCTTCACTCCCCTAACAGTGAAGCGAGGCAAGTGCCCATCAAGGGTGATGATCTCGATTTTGAAGTGGTGGGCTGTGCGTATGAAAGAGGGGGTGGGCTTAGCAGGGAAACTGCTGTTGCCATGACAGACAGCTCGCAGGCACAATAAGTGGCTCAGTGCCTACTAGGAGAACTTGTTGGGTCTGCTGCCCTCCATCTCTCCCCACTTGGATCTATTCACTTTGGAGTCTTGGTGCTTTCTTGATATGTAGCACTCACCTGGCACATTTCAATCCTGCTGGCTTTCCCCTTCCGACATTCTCTCTAATCTTGCTCTTGAGAGAGACTACAAAGTCCAGTCTCACTCTGCAGGCTGATGCGGGAGATCCACTATTATAGCACCCCTGATGATAGGTGGCCGCCCAGCCCCCTGCTTGAAAACCTAGCAAAAGAGAATCTTCCAAAGCAGGTCTGCTCTGATGTTGAATAGCTTGTACTGTCAGGAAGTTTAGGGCAGCTGCCTACCATCTCCATTTGGTACTCTGGCTGAGACTCTGCCTGCCCACACACCATCTTGCCAGAGTGGTACATGCTCTGGCTATCTGCAATCTATGTGGGCCTACCTTTCATAGAATCGTAGAATCATAGAGTTGGAAGAGACCACAAGGGCCATCGAGTCCAACCCCCTGCCAAGCAGGAAACACCATCAGAGCACTCCTGACATATGGTTGTCAAGCCTCTGCTTAAAGACCTCCAAAGAAGGAGACTCCACCACACTCCTTGGCAGCAAATTCCACTGTCGAACAGCTCTTACTGTCAGGAAGTTCTTCCTAATGTTTAGGTGGAATCTTCTTTCTTGTAGTTTGGATCCATTGCTCCGTGTCCGCTTCTCTGGAGCAGCAGAAAACAACCTTTCTCCTTCCTCTATGTGACATCCTTTTATATATTTGAACATGGCTATCATATCACCCCTTAACCTCCTCTTCTCCAGGCTAAACATGCCCAGCTCCCTTAGCCGTTCCTCATAAGGCATCGTTTCCAGGCCTTTGACCATTTTGGTTGCCCTCCTCTGGACACGTTCCAGTTTGTCAGTGTCCTTCTTGAACTGTGGTGCCCAGAACTGGACACAGTACTCCAGGTGAGGTCTGACCAGAGCAGAATACAGTGGCACTATTACTTCCCTTGATCTAGATGCTATACTCCTATTGATGCAGCCCAGAATTGCATTGGCTTTTTTAGCTGCCGCGTCACACTGTTGGCTCATGTTAAGTTTGTGGTCAACCAAGACTCCTAGATCCTTTTCACATGTTTCACATCCTTTTCACATCCTTTTCAAGCCAGGTGTCCCCCATCTTGTATTTGTGCCTCTCATTTTTTTTGCCCAAGTGCAATACTTTACATTTCTCCCTGTTAAAATTCATCTTGTTTGTTTTGGCCCAGTTCTCTAATCTGTCAAGGTCGTTTTGAAGTGTGATCCTGTCCTCTGGGGTATTAGCCACCCCTCCCAGTTTGGTGTCATCTGCAAATTTGATCAGGATGCCCTTGAATCCATCATCCAAGTTGTTGATAAAGATGTTGAATAAGACCGGGCCCAAGACAGAACCCTGTGGCACCCCACTAGTCACTCTTCTCCAGGATGAAGAGGAACCATTGATGAGCACCCTTTGGGTTCAGTCAGTCAGCCAGTTACAAATCCACTGAGTGGTAGCATAGTCAAGACCGCATTTTACCAGCTTCTTTACAAGAATATCATGGGGCACCTTGTCAAATGCCTTGCTGAAATCAAGGTAGGCTACATCCACTGCGTTCCCTTCATCTACCAGGCTTGTAATTCTGTCAAAAACGAGATCAGGTTAGTCTGACATGACTTATGTTTCAGAAATCCATGCTGACTATTGGTGATCACAGCATTCCTTTCTAGGTGCTCACAGACTGTTTGCTTAATGATCTGCTCCAGAATCTTCCATGGTATTGATGTCAGACTGACTGGGCGGTAATTATTTGGGTCCTCTCTTTCCCCTTTTTGAAAATAGGGACAACATTTGCCCTCCTCCAGTCTGCCGGGACTTCGCCTGTTCTCCAGGAATTCTCAAAGATGACTGCCAGTGGTTCTGAGATCACATCTGCCAGTTCTTTTAATACTCTTGGATGCAGTTCATCTGGCCCTGGAGACTTGAATACATCTAAACTAGCCAAGTATTCTTGTACTATCTCCTTAGTTATTCTGGGCTGTGTTTCCTCTGC